TCACTCAAACAGGTGTTGACTGAATACATTTGAAGCTATCGCAGGCAAACAGTCACAGTGTTGGATTTAAAAACCAGCTGACGAAAGCAAATTCTCGAAATCAAATGAAGTAATCCGCTTCGGTTCAAATGCTGGAAATTGGCCTGACTGGGAGAAGTCAACTGTTTGGGAAAACAATCAAAACTAAGTACTGTTGTGACGTGTTTACTGGAGGCTGAAATTACCTGAAATAAAGGATGAATCTTTAAAAAACTCGAAAAATGTCTTTTTGAATACAGTAAACATAGACTTGGCTTGTTCTAATGCCTAATTGAAGCTGTAACATACATGAAATATTGAAACCAACACTTTTCATTTCAGTTGATGAAATCAATGTTGAATGAAGAGGAAGAGGTAAAGAGAGGTAGAGTTCACAGAGGCAGGTGGTCAGAGGTTAATCCTAGGTTGGTGTTGGAGCGAGTGAGCTCTGCTATTAAATGCAGTAATATCCCAGTAAACCCCGAGGAGGCCTGTTTTGTAAACATGGTCAAAGGTTATTCCAGTACAGCAGAACCTTAGACTGTATTGACCAGTGTTGGGTAATAGCGGCAGGATACACAGAAAGATAATCAGCGCTGCACACGGTTTCATATTATCAATTCTGTAGAGCTTGCTTGAACACAAACACGCGCACACACAAACACACACACACACACAAACACAGAGCTAGGAGAGTAGGCCCTCATCCTCAGGAAAACACAGAAGAGCCATAAAATAGGTTAGTTCAAAGCAAATTCTCCACAAAAGATTGTCTCTCTTCATCTACTGTGGACTCTGTGATCTAGATTACCTTTTAAACACACGCGCGCACACACACACACACACACACACACACACACACACACACCACTAACACATCACTTCAGAACATCACTGCCGCGTAATTTAGCTGACTAGAGTATTGATCCCGGGTTTGTGATTAAAACAGGGACAGTTTTTTCTGCTCAAATGCAATCAACACATAAACCCACCGTGGGATCACTTACGCAATGCTCAGTTGCTGTTACAGGCACACACACACACACACACACACACACACACACACACACACACAGTGAGACAGCATGAATAACTACAGTGCAGAGCAACATTGTTAGCAAGCCGTGGACCTGGAATCTGATGAGGATAAAGCCAGAAACCTTGGTCCGTTCTGTGTAGGTGTTTGTGTGTGAGTGTGTGTGTGTGTGTGTGTGTGTGTGTGTGTATATGAACAAAGGGTATGTCAACATATATATGTTTTTGGCTGTGATGTGGTTTTATGAGTGTATGGGATGCTCATAAAAGACTTCGATTGAAAGTGCATGTACGTAAATCTCTTTTTGTGTCTGTGTGTGTGTGTGTGTGTGTGTGTGTGTGTGTGTGTGTGTGTGCGTGTGCCCTGACCCCCATAAAGCAGCGGAGTGATTGAAAGGTTTAAATGGTAAAGGTGCACTCAGGGGAATAGGGCTAATCTACATGATGGTGGAGCTATTTTAACGGCGTCCTGATGAACACGTGCACGCATCTGAGATAATGAAAACATCCAAGTTGAAAATGCTGCAAAGGAAATAAATCATTAGTTTATTTGAATTATACCAACTCCTTATTTAACTGTATTGTTAAAAAATATCATATAAGGGCAGTTTATAATGCAGGTTTAAATATATTTGTTTGTTTTGTTTGCAAACTCGTTGTTTTTCTATTGTGTCACACAGTATGGAGAAGTATTACATGCCGGTCTTAGTTTCATAATCTTGACCACACAGTATGCGTATAATATCCATGGCACTACTTCTTTGCATTGAATTATTTGTTTTATCTGTCTGTCCATCCATTCTGTGCCAACACTACTGTTCCCATTTCAAACAGAACATACAGTCTTACACATGCAAGAGCAATGAGCTGTTATTTAATCCGTCTGTATGTATGGACTGTGAGTCTAGGTGGGCGTGGAGCACAGAAAAACCAAGGTTACCGGTGTGATTCCCGCTGGGACCCTCAATGATAAAAAAAAAACAATCTATGCACTTACAGAACTGTAAAGTGCTTTGAATACAAGTGTTCACCACATGGTGTATAACTAACAGCTTAGAGAAAAGTGTGTCTGAGTGCGTGTGTGTGTGTGTGTGTGTGTGTATCTTAGGGTTATTGTTACTCATAATTAATTTCCTTAAACAACACAAGCAGTAAAACAACAGCAGGAAAGCGACAATGACACACCCTACTCTGGAAAGTCACGCAGGCATACGCAATCACACACTTAACAACGGGCTGCACTGTTTGTATTGATAACCTATTGCAACAGTGCAATGCTTTTGTTAACCTGACTCTACTCTGTAAGGCACAGCCCTCTGAAACAATGAACTCAACGAGCATCAACACGCCTGCCAACAGTATGTGGAACAATGCAGCCAGCGAACCAAACATTGCACACGTCCCCTTGTAGTCAAACTGTATTTACAGCATATGGCCACATCATTTG